CAGAACCAGCTCTGGTTTCCCCTAAATGAGTCTGTTCCAGCAGATGTCACAGAAACTAGCAAAAAAAATAGCGTTAAAAGGCTGCAAACTGATGACTGATGAGCAGAAACTCAACATTAGTTTCATTTTTTGGTGCTAATGTTCGGTTCGGTTTTGTCTGCCTGGGGCGGGGCTCGGCCTGTCCGTTGGACTGGGGCTAAATTCACCAGCACATTCTCTAAAATGGGATTAAACTGCAGGACGTCGAGCTCGGTTGTGGCTCTAATTGGATTAAAGCTGCTGCTCAGAGCTCAAACCGCTAGTTTGGCCCCGTTTGAGTCCCTGAAAGGAAAACCTACTCAGTGTGAAGTCCTCATGGTTAGTCCGAAGCCCCCAAAGACACGGAGAGCTGAGTTTCTGTGCTGAGACAGTGGAGGGAACCAGCCTAGGCTGAGCTTTGGGTGGCTTTTCCTCTCTGGGGTCAGAGGTCACAGAGGGAAAACAGGAAGGCTGAATACCTGATGGAAGCCGAGGTATTCCTGGATGGTGTGAGAGCAGAAGAAGACAGTTCCCCCGGCCGTCACCACCAACACGAAGCCGTGCAGAGCCTGAGGAGAGAGGGCCGGTCAGAGAGCCGCCACAGCCAAAACAGGAAAAACAGGCAGGAAAACCAGCAGGGAAACAGGAAAACCAGCAGGGAAACCAGCAGGGAAACAGGAAAACAGGCAGGAAAACCAGTAGGAAAACGGCAGGAAAACTAGCAGGAAAACAGGAAAACCGTGCGGAAAACAGGAAAACCGGACGGAAAACCGTAAGGAAAACAGGCAGGAAAACCGGAAGGAGAACAGGCTGGAAAACAGGCAGGAAAACAGGAAAACCGGCAGGAGAACAGGAAGGAAAACATGAAAACCGGACGGAAAACCGGAAGGAAAAAGAGGCAGGAAAACCGGAAGGAGAAAAGGCTGGAAAACAGGCAGGAAAACAGGAAAACTGGCAGGAGAACAGGCAGGAAAACAGGCAGGAAAACAGGAAACAGGCTGCTGCTCACAAAGAGCCCAAAGATCCATTTTAAACTGCTGCTCTACTGAGCAACGCTGGCTCATCCCTTGAGTTAGGGGCCTTGTCTCTGCCTGAATGATTCATATGTGGCCAAACAAACCAAACAACTGGACTGAAAATGAGTTAAAAATGAGCCAAAAATGTCCATGAAGAAATGGATGAATGTTTCTGGGAACCAGTGGATGAACACAAACGCTCGTCCTGCTCTCGTCTGAGGCCTTTTCACTCAGCCGATGGCAGGAAAGTCGGGCTTCCGAGGCGACAATGAGCTGTAAAAGCAGCCCGCCAGGAAATGGAGCAAATGAACGAAGGAGGGAGACAAACTAAACAACAGGGCCGAGCCTCCAGGCGGAGAGAGGGAGACGAGGGGAGGAAGGAGGTCAGAGCTGGAAGCTCACACCTCCATCACGGCTCCGGCTCCTCTGGTGTGTGTGTGTGTGTGTGTGTGTGGGTGTGTGTGTGTGTGTGTGTGGGGGGGGGGGGGGGGGGTGATGACACAGAGCTGCTACACCTCCTGACCAGGAGGAGCCGCGTTAATGTGGGCAGACACATGTGCTAATGCACTGCTTCCTCACTTCCATCTCAGCCGTCTGGAGGAATCCAGAGATCTGAGGACAGCTCTCAGAGAGAGGCCCACTTGCCTGTTTTTGCCCTGTCGTTTGATAAAAAGCTGTGAGGAACAGGAAGAAACCGACAGCCGAGGCTCGCTGAGCCGGAAAAATGCAGAAAAACGCTGAAAATCACTGAAAATGCTTTAAAAAAAAATTAAAAACTGAAAAATGCTGATAAATGCTAAACAAAATTGCAAAAAAATGCTGAAAAACAGCTGGAAAATGCTGAAAAACTGTAGAAAATTATGACAAATGCTGAAAATGCTTATAAAAAATGCTGAAAAACGCAGCAAAATGCTGAAAAGCCTAAACGAAAACAACTTCTTTGCCGTCTCTCTGTCAAGGAATCCCTTGGGGAACTAATTTATAGGACCAGGAAACAACACATTACATTTGTTTTCAGGTTTCAGGGAGAAAAGGCAAATATGAGTCTGTTTCTGCTCATAAAAAACAATCAAATGGGTCACAATGAAGAGAAAAAGAGGAAAAAATGAAAACAAAGTCCAGAATCCATGAGCTGGATTAGCTCCAGATTACAGATTTGACCTTAAAAAGCAGAAATAAAACGCGACTGGCTGGAAACAGGACGGCTTTGCTGAGACCCAGCAGCCCCCACCCCCCCATAAAGGAGGGGCTCTGTATTATTGATGTGTCTGAGGGACCGGGGAGGCTGGAAAGAGCGGAGGAAAGACATCAGAAAGAGGAGTCCATCGTTCTGCAGCCATCTGAGCTGGAGGCGTGAAGCAGACCCCCCCAGAGCGACTGGACCCGGGCCTCCGGGGTAAGGGGGCCTTCGGCTGTCCCCAGGATCCAACATGGCCGCCCACAGCAAAGGGAAGGATCTGAGGGATCTGATGGATCTGAAGGATCTGGATCTGAAGGATCTGAGGGATCTGAGGGATCTGGGGGATCTGAGGGATCTGAAGGATCTGGGGGATCTGAAGGATCTGAGGGATCTGGGGGATCTGGGTCTGAAGGATCTGGGTCTGAGGGGTCTGAGGGATCTGAGGGATCTGAGGGATCTGAAGGATCTGAAGGATCTGAAGGATCTGGGTCTGAAGGATCTGGGTCTGAAGGATCTGGGTCTGAAGGATCTGGATCTGATGGATCTGGGTCTGAAGGATCTGAAGGATCTGAAGGATCTGAAGGATCTGGGTCTGATGGATCTGAGGGCTGTGATGACCCACCTGCAGCAGCAGCTCGCCCTCCGGCACGCCGCCGTCATGGCCGCCGTCGTCATGGCTGCCGCCGTCATGGCCGCCGCCTCTGCTGGGGAACCCGGGCGGCTGGTTCCTCAGCGTTACTGAGGAGGCAGAAAGCAGCAGGATTACACGCCAGTAGGGACGTCCCGATCCAGCTTTCTGTAGTTCCCATCCGATCCAGATCCCGGCCTATCAGAGCATTTATTAAAGTTTAAAGTTATTTATCTACTTACTTAGTTATCAGTTGTTGAACAGGCATTTACTCTGAAAACAACTTAATGGTTAGGACACAGAGCTGTGGGTTACAGATGCTAATGCTAATGCTAATGCTCGTGTGGGATCGGACTTTAAATAAAAAACTGGATCTGGAGTCTGGATCTGTATTTTCTTCTGCATTTTTTTGCAAATATTGGCGGCCGATCCGATCCTTATATGTAGTCAAATCAGAGGAAATTCACAGGAAGCTGGAGGAAAGATGCCTGTCAGGATTTCTCTGTCTGCAGCATCCTTATTTCTCTCTTTCAGGCCTTCTTTTGTGGTCTTTTTTTTGGTCAGTTTTGCCCTAAAACCCCCGAAAGAAGCCATAAACGCATGCAGCCGACGGGACTCAGCATCAGAATCTGTGAAATCTGCACATCTGCTGCAGATTTCTGCTGGTTCTTGTGTCAGAAAGCCCAACCGGATCACCAGAACTCGGGTCCTCAGCCCAGATCTGCTGGAAACCTGCAGACTGAAGCTGTCTGAGAGCTCTCAGAGCAAGTCGAGACCCTGAGACTCAACATGAAGCTCCAAAAACCCACAAACCGGGACTCTATTGGGCAGCTGAGCTGACGTTTCCATGACGACGGTGGGAGACGTGCCTCAAATCAGCAGAGTGTTTGGACCAAAGCTGTGACTCGGAGCAGAAACACTCATGTCCACCATCAATAATTGAGAGCCTGAACAGCCGTGTGGCCAAACATCCACTAAGAACATCCCGGCAGCATGAATAAACCAGAACCAGCCTCATCTGGAGGAGAGACCCCACGGAGGGACGCCAAACAGCCGGCGCACCTCCCGTTTAATTCCTTCATTCACCCAATTAGCTGTGAGAGAATGGTGCTCTAACTCAAGGGATGAGCCAGTCCCGGAGCAGTGTCCTGGGGACAGGAGGGACCACAAGGAGATCTGAGACGGCTGCAAACCCTCCTGATGGAGCCGGAAAAGGTTGGAGCTTTTTTTGCCTGCCGCCGTCCCAGAAGACGGCCCAGACACAGAGACAGCCCCCCCTCCAGGTACAGAGTAGGGCTGTCACGATACTAACATTTTCAACTCCATACCGATACTCAGGAAAATACTCGATACTCGATACCATTTTCAATACCACAAGGGTAAAAACAAAGACCCCCAAATTTAACTGAATTGTGTCTTTCATTTCAAACTGACCTGTTACTGATGTTATCGTGACTGGTGGCCCACATTAATGGCCCTAATCCTAACCCTAACCCTCCACCCTTCATAATTGTGAGAAATAAATATTTTTTGGTTAAACTTGTTTGGACTTATTGTACAAACCTATTTAACATCCACTATTTTAAAATAATATTATGGATAGAGTTTAATTCAGTGTTTGGAAGATTCATTTCACTATTTTTTTTTAATTATTATTATTTATTTTTTTAAAGATTTTGTTGGCCCTAGTGGCCTTTAACGACAGTAGCTTGACAGGAAAGGGGGCAGAGATAGAGAGGGGGAGACCTGCGGGAAAGGGCCGTGGGCCAGATTCGAACCCAGGACGCCCGCTTGTAAGCGGAGGCTCCGCATATGGGCCGCCCGCTCTAGCCATTAGGCTACGCTGCGGCCCTCATTGGTGATGTAATCAAAATGGCCGACTTGGTTGTGGGCGGAGTTGGATATGTACTTGATTAATGGTAGCATGTTATTATTAGCCATTAGCCACAGCTAGCAAGGCTAACGTCTTGTTAATGATCATAAACAACGTAAATAAATAAATAAATCAGAGAGAAGGGGCGGTGGTATCGATACTTTTGAAAATGAGTATCGTATCCGGATACAACATTTTAGTATCAATACTTTTGACAACCCTAGTACAGAGACAGCAGCCCCCCCCCCCTCAGAGACAGACACAGCTCTGCCTCCCCTCTGAGGGAGGCGGGGACAGAGAGGTTGACCTTTGACCCCCTCGTGGCCCCTCCCACCTGAGAAGAAGCTCTTGGTCCGCAGGTAGCTGACGCTGAGCCGGAGGATGGACAGCTTGTCCAGGCTGGACACCACGTCCTCGGGGAAGGGCAGCAGCCCGGCCAGCCGCTGCAGCTCGCCGTTCAGACGCTCGCGGTGGCGTTTGGACGGGTTGGACTTGGCGCCCTCAGCCGGAGCCGCTTTCACCCTGGGGAGTCAGGACCAATCACACCGTGACCTCACAGATCACCTGAGAACAGGCCAGAGGCAGCTTCCTGGCTCCAATTAATGACCAGAACTTAAAGAAAACGAGTGGAAACGTCAGGATTCAGGACACAACACGGATGTTTCCAGGGAGGAAGTCAAGGACGTTATCAAAAAAAGACACTGATTACTGAAGCAGAAAAGATGCAAATGAACCATAAAGACATGAAATATGTCCAAAGAGGAGAAAAGAAGGGGCCACACAACAGTCTAAATTATCCAAAGAGAAGCAAAGCCATCACAAATAGACACAAAAGAAACAGAATCAAGAGAGGAGTTTACAAATGACCCCAAAAAGACACATTTATAGAGAAGTATCATTAAGAAGATGGTAATAAATGGAAAAGCAAAACAAACTAAATGAGCCAAAGCACAACAAACAGATGAAAAACAAACAAAAATACAGAAAAATACAGCATCCCCCACAGAGACACAATCTGACGACCGGGATGCAGAAAAGTGACACAAATGTGTGCAAAAACACCCAAAATGAGCCCCTTTAGAGGCCTTTGGGGATTAGCGGCCCGGCCGGCAGGGGGCGCCTCTCCCAGCCCGTTAATCCGGTGTTTACAAACCCTCCTGAACCGGGGGACTCGCAGAGTAACTAATACGTCTTACGCCTCCAGATTTAGAGTCGGAGGCTGGTGGGACGGAGCGTCTTACCCCTTCTGGGCCGGCTTCCTGCGCTTGCGTCCGGCGAACATGATGGGGCTCAGTGGGCCGGGGGGTCGGGGGGGGGGGGGGGGGGGGAGGGGGGGGGGGGTGGTGGGGGCTGGAGCCCGGTGGAGCCTCGACCCGGATCCGGAGGACTGGCGGCACCGGGATCATCTGCTGTGTGACGGGGAACTGCGTCCAGACGGGCCCCGGACCGCCGGTGCGCAGCCGCACGGCCGGGAACACCGGGATAAAGGGCCGGGAACACCGGGGGAAAAGCCCGGTCCAGCAAAGCAGAGTCCGGTCCAGCAAAGCAGAGTCCAGTCCGGTCCGGTCCGGTTCGGTCCGGTCCACTCCCCACGCAGAAACACGGGACCAGGCCGGGACCGCTCCTCCTCTCCTCCGCTCCTCTGCAGCTCTGCAGCTCCTGGCTCTGACCCGCTGCGCGCTCCCGCGCTGACGGAGCTCTGGCTGCACCTCGGGAGCGCGCAGCGGGTCAAAGGTGACGTCAGAGCAGTGAGGGAAGCAAAGGTCAGCCCCTAGCCTCAGTTCAAAGGGCAGATGTGGCCAGTAGTCTGACTTTTTAATCAGTTTACACAGTGGATCAGAACTGATTATCAACCAAAACTGAGTTTTACCTTTAAATAAAATTAAAAAGGAAAGTGTAGCTACATTAGCATGAAATGCTAGTCAGAAATATCTGCCACAAAAGGTCAGATAAATAAATACAAATGGAAATGGACCAGTTTTACTTCATGCAGACGTTTTAATAAAGAGTCTACAGTTAATAGGGACAGCCTAGCTAACAAAGATACAGTTTACATGAGCGAACAGACGCTTGTAATAAGATACAGATTTGAGTTTTAATCAGCCAGAATTGCTCATAAAGCTGTTCTGAGCTGTTAATCTGCCCATAAGTTGTGTTTTACCTAAGAATTCACTACCTGCCGTGCAGGTAGCATAAAAGGCTCCTCTGAAACGTTGATGCTTTCGATCACAAAAATTAAAGTAAAAAAAGAAAGAAATGATAATAATTCAGATTTTAGAAACTGTTTAAGTTATTGGAGACGGAGGGTTTCTTTCACAGGTTGATATTAAAATGCACCGAATAAGCATTTCTAACACGCGTTAGATTAATTAATTCGATTCAGTTTTAGTTTTTTCTAAAGTGATGAATGAAATTCTGTGTCTCTCTGTATATTCATTCTTGTTGTTTTCACAAACTAACAGTAAAAAATGCTTCATATATGTCTGAATCTGGTCACTTTCAGAGGAAATCTGCAGGAATTCACAGTAAAAGTTTTCCTATCATTGATGGTTCTCTACATCTTCCCTGTTTTTCTTGTTGCTAGGCTTCAGATGTACTAACCTTTCCTGATAATAACTTTCCTTTGGCTCTGCTGGAGCCCTGCTGCCTGTGGCTGACTGACCTGCCTCCTGCCACTGCGTTAGGCTGCCATCTAGTGGACACCAGTGAGCAGCACGTCCAGCCAAACTGCAACACAAACACTGCCGTCAGTCCTCACGATTCACAAACAAACACACTCTTTCTGTTTAATATCCCCTAACTAGGTGTGAGCTTAAAATAAATGAGAGGAGAATCTGTGATAAATGTTTGTGGTTGAGTGAAAACATTGAGCCGGATGCAGTGATCACATCACCTTTAATAGGAGGTGCATGTCCAGACCGACTCCGACACTCAGATACAGACTCAGAGTCAGAGTGTTGAGGGCAAATCCACAAGTTATCAAAAATACATCATGACAAGAGGTTACATGTTCACCGTGCAATGAAAACTGTACAAATTGACAGCAATGTGAGTCATTTTAAGGCAATACAAGACTGAAGTACACAATATTAAACAATACATATTTTAGGGGAAATAAAGCTGAATATATATAAATGTACATACACAATTACACAAAGATACTGCATTTCGGAGCCATGGCTTCCTCTGGTTATAGGTAAAATAATTAAAAAGGCTTTTTCTCAATGTAGAAGTAAGCAAAAAGGTATATTTATATCTCTATACAAAGAATACTTTGTGAGAAAAGGCACTGAGAGAGAGGGAACGAAGGCCGCCTCCAGAGCTTCTGCTTTGTTTCCATCCAGCTGAGGAGCTTTTTGCTTTTTACCGTGTTTTAGTCCATCCCTGCTCAGAAAGAGGAGGAGAAACTCTGGGAATTGTTTTACTCCTTTGGCTGAATTCACACCAGGTGGAGGTCCTCATTCAGTTCACTACATTTCCCAGAGTTCTCTCCCAAATAAGAACTGGTCAAATGGCATCACAAAAACACTCTTAAAGGAGAGTGTTTTTGCGATATTTGACTTCTTAAAGCAAAAGGAAACAAAACAACACGATTCGGGGCCCAAAAATACAGTCAGATTTGGCTTTTTATTAGTCAATGAGAAAACTGGTTGTGATGTGAGTCTAAACTTTGTGGAGATGAGGCGCAGTCAGTCCGGGAACTCTGGATTGAGCCGTTTGTACACAGGACACGTTTTAGGCTCCTTTAGCTGCTTTAGAAAGTCACAATTTTGGCTTAAATTCCATCAAATCTGTGCAAAAAGCGAACAGAACACAAACTGTGGTTTGATTTGCCTGTCATCCCTTTGGTATCGTAAAAAATGTCTTTTTTTGTGAGGACTTTTGGTTTAAAACCCAGTTATTCAAGTGTTTTGTGTCTAAAATCAGCAGAAGATTCTTTACCCTGTGAGAGGAAAAGTTGCAGAAATGGAGAAGAAATCTAACTTCATGGCTCAGATTGGACTGAATCTAAATGTGTGTAAACGAAAAGGCCCAAAGATGACTACTCTCCTCTTAAGGTTCTGCTGAGGGGAAAGTTACACTAAACATCCATTTAAATTAGGTTTAATCCAGATGACTTGTTCAAATAAATCTAGTTTAATCCAGATTCAGTCATCATTAAAAATTTACAAATATTTTAATTGAGGAAAACACGAGTTCTGCTCGTTTAAACATTTCCAGTAAATCTGTTCTGCTCAGAGCATAAAGGAGGCTTTTAAAAGCTAAGTGCTTAAATCTTCTCTGTGCTGGTTTGTTGTCAGATAAAGCGTCGGCTTTGGCTTTGCGCCGTTTAAGACGGGCTGGTGAAGCTTTGGTCGAACGAGGAACATCGCATGTCCCTTTAAATGTCGCTTTAAGGCACCGTCTGGATTTCCCCTTCACAACAAGAAAGCAAAGAGACAGAAAAGAGAGGAAAGAAGGAGTAAAACTGGCTCAGTGACAAAGCTTTAAACTCTACAAACAAGCAGCCGTTTTCACTCTAAGTTGCTCCGTGACTCTCGGTCACCCTGTTGTGCGTTTCAATTCTTTAAAAAAGTCCTTTTGTTCCTGTCGGGGGAGCAAATCTGGCTCCTCGGAGACAGAAAAGACGTTGAAATGAACTTTGCGAAGGACAAAAACAGCAGCCTAAAGGAGTTAAATCCTTCTGGGCCTTCGGAACAGGAAACAACTGTCCAAACTCATCTGTGAATGAATGTCAGAGTCTCTGAGGAGCTGTTAAAGTGCAATACCTCTGACGGCCACTAGGAGCTGCCCTAAACGCCTCTGCTGCTGCGTCTGGAGGACCGAAGCTGCCACACAAAAACAAACCACCGCGGATAAAGGGCTGCACAGGGTTCAGATTCCACTGGAATAGATAACAGAATAAATCCTAAAAAAATAACTGAAGGCTATGCGAAATAAATGATACATAATATATGCACTAAGTTTACAATCTATAAGTTCAATTTCGCTTTGAATTAGTTATTCCTGGATTTATTTCTTTAAAATTTTCTTTTTAACTGCACTGATGTATTTTTGTTGATAAAAAGAAATGAATAAATTACATTTAATTAAAAACTATTTCCCCAGGCTTGATTATTTAAATGTTTTCTTTTTGCTTCTCTTGGGTTTTAAAGCAGCGAAATCAAGATGAATGTCATTTATTTCACATAATCAGTTATTCTAAGCATGAATTTGATTGTATTTTACTATCACATTTGGATAGTTTGGCTGTTCATAAATCTGTTATGATCTTTTATTTATTCATTTTTGATAATGACAGTGAAGGCCCTCCGTACAGCTTTAATTCATTCAGAGTCGGATTTTCTTGTAGCAAAAACTGACTTTTTGCCAGATTTCTCTCTGATTTTTGGACACTGTGGACCCTCACAGTTCAGGAGGGTTTTCAGATAAAGCGTTTTGTGTGTGCCACCACCGGCAGAGATAAGAAGAGATTTTAATCCAACAAAAACGCCCAATTTTACCTGAATACCAGATTTTCTCTCTGTGTAATTCGGTCCTCCGGCCACAGGGGGGCAGTAATGAGTAACCAGTTACAGAGACTCCAAATGGATCTGATTTGATGAATCGGTTCAAAATTTAGCTCTTAAAAGGGCAAAAATGGTGAATTAATTCTGAATTTCATACCACTGGGACAAATTCAATCGCTTGAAGGCTCCTGAATGCGAAGCGGGTAAAGATCTGTAGCTCAAAGATGGCGTCGTTTTGACGTGAGAGGCCGGAGCTCTGTGGCCAAACCTGGACTTCTGAAGCACCCATCACAGTTTCTGTTAGAGAGCCGAACAGACTCGTTCCTGCTGCTCCTCCGCTGGGCCGCTGGCCTCCGTTACACGCCGTTTCCGGTCATTTGCTGTCGGAGAAGCAGGAGCCGTTGGGCAGCAGCGGGAACGGGAAGCCGGCGCCGCCCAGGCTGCTGATCTGTGGAGACAAAGGCCGCTCTGAGGGTTTGGTTTGGGTTAAAGGGATCCACAAAGAAGAAAAATAACTTACCCTGAGTTGGACACATGGAAAGTTAACAACAAGCAGCTTTGGATAATCAAAGGATGCTTTTCTCCCATTAGGGCGATAATAATAATAGTAATATATATCATATATCTATTTAATTAATTATCTAATGACATCTAATGACAATACCAATTTATTTATGAATGAATTATTAATGTAATATTTTTGTAATTAAATTATGATGAATTACATATTTAATATATAATCTAATTAATATCATGAGTAATTCATATATGAACGATAATGTATAAATTATAAAACAACCTTAAAGGAAACTAAACGACCACAAAAGGGGAGAAAAGACAGATAGAAGCCTGGGGTTCTGGTTCTGGGGACCCAGAACCAGGACCAGGTCCAGGTCTAGGTCCAGAACCAAGTCCAGGTCCAAGACCAGATCCAGGGCCAGGACCAGGACCAGATCTAAGTCTAGGTCTAGGTCTAGGTCCAGGACCAGGACCAGGACCAGGACCAGGACAAGGACCAGGACCAGGACCAGGACCAGGTCCATGACCAGGTCCAGGTCCAGGTTTTACCTGCATCTGTTTCCTGAAGCCCAGAGCCTGTGGCGCCCCCGTCCGGCCGTTGGGCGCCAGTCCGGCGGCCATCTGGCAGGACAGCGCCGCCTCGCCGCCATTAGCCCCCCCGGCGGGCGCCGCCTGGTAGAAGCAGGACGGCGGCGTGGCGGCGTGCGGCGCCCTGAGCGGCGCCCGGCCGATGACGTCATCGGCGGTGTGCGGGCGGCGCTGCGGCCACGGCGGCTCGTGGAGCGCCGGCGTGAAGAGGCCGGGCGCCGCCGCGTCGGCGTGGAAACCGTTTGAAATGTTCTGGCCGGCGCCGTTCCACTGGCTGAAGGCCGGGTTTGGCCGCCGCCCCTGGAGGGTCGCCGCGGCGACGTGCGGCGGCGGGGCGGCGTGCGGCGGCCCGTTATGGTCGGGCATTAGGAACGCGGCGGCGAGCTGGTTCTGAGGGCGGCGGGGCGGAGCCAACGGGATCACGGCGTTCGGCTGCGGCGCCACGGCCACCGGGGGGAAGTCCAGGTGGCTGAGCGGCGGCGCCATCACCGGGGCGCCGTTCGGGGCGGGCGGCGCCGGCGCCGGCCACGCCTCCACGGGGACGTCCAGCTGCAGCTGCTCCTCGAAGTAGGACAGCACGTCCCCCGGGTCGGCGCCCGCCTCGCCGCTCAGACGCAGCAGGGCGCTCTCCCAGCCCTTCAGCTCCTCCGGAGCCACCTCCAGCGCGCCCATCAGCTCGCCGTCCTCCAGGATGTCCTGCAGCGTGGACATGACCTCCTGCAGGGCGGCGTCCGCGCGGGCGGGGCCCCCGTTGCCCGCGGCGTCCCCCGGGATGCTGAGCGTGGCGTGAGAGTCCTGGAAGGCGGCGTCGCTCAGAGAGCTGAGCGCCGCGGCGTCCTGGCTGTACAGAGACTGGTCCTGGCTCAGCAGGCAGCCCAGCAGGGAGTTCTGGCTGATCTGGTCCGGGCCCAGCAGGGGGTTCTGGTTCTGGTCCGGGCCCAGAAGGGGGTTCTGGTCCAGCAGGGGGTTCGGGTCCAGCAGGGGGTTCTGGTTCTGTCCCAGCAGGGGGTTCTGGTCCTGGCCCGGACTCAGCAGGAGGTCCAGTCCCAGCAACTGGTTCTGGTTCTGGTCCTGGCCCAGCAGGGGGTTCTGGTCCAGGCCCAGCAGCTGGTTCTGGTTCTGGTCCGGGCCCAGCAGGGGGTTCTGGATCTGGTTCTGGTTCTGGCCCCGGGGCGGGTCGGGCTGCAGGCTGGGCAGCGTGTCGTACAGAACTCCCTCTCCGGTGGTCAGGCTGAAGGGCAGCTGCAGCCGCCGCAGACGCAGCTGCTCCTCGCCCTCCTCGTTCCTGCAGAGCCGTTAGCACGCCGTTAGCACGCCGTTAGCACGCAGTTAGCACGCAGTTAGCACGCCACAGTTAGCACGCCGTTAGCACGCCACCGGCAGGACGCCGCCGTCAGCAGCAGCCGTTAGCACGCCGCCGTTAGCAGCTGCCATTAGGACGCCACAGTTAGCACGCCGTCGGCAGACTTACGTTAGCGCCCTCTGCCGGGCCACGATGAAGTCCGGTTTTCCCGCCTTCAGCACCATGCGGGCGTTGGACTGGACCCAGATCCAGCGGCCGCTTTTGGACAGCAGCCTGAAGATGGTGATTCCAGTTTCCCCAGTTTTGATCACTGGAGGGAACATTCAAATATTTTTATGTTTCTATTGATAGAATTTAGCAGTTCATTACCATATTGTACACATTTTTGGTATTTTTTAAGGGAAGATTTTGGGGTTTCTTCACACAATATTTGACTCACTGCGCGTGTGGTTCTCGGCGCAGTGCATCATGTCGGCGGCGTGGATGAACATGTATCCGGATCCCTTCATGCTGATCTCCACCTCGTTGTAGCCCAGCACCACCTGCCCCCTGTGGGAACAGACAGCCAGATGTGGACCTCCAGCCTCCAGCCTTTCGGCCTCCAGCCTTTCGGCCTCCAGCTTCCAGCCTC